TGTATTTAAATATAACTATATTGAATATACCATATATGTATATTCAATAAAATCTCTACTTGAATATGTGTATATTGAATATACCATATTTTATGTTTATATTGAGTATATCTATATTTGAATATATGTATCTGCCTTTCTTTTCCTGTTTTTTTTTTTTATTAGTTATAAGTTAAATGTTTATATCCGTATGTTGTTCATTTACGTTTACATCTTATCGTATCGTTTGTACGTACTTGTTTGTACCTAATATATTATGTATGTAGTTTATATATATAGTGTATGTAGTTTATATATATAGAGTGTAGTTTATATATATAGAGTTTATATAGAGTCGAGGATATTGTATCGGGATTATTTCCATTATATGGATATAATGTTCATTAACATAAAGCAATAGACAGAATGAAGTTAAAATAGAAGAGGGGAATTAATAGGACAGCAGAATAATATTATAATACAATATTTAAAAAGTGAAATATAAATGAAAAGCAAAAAATTTTCTCTGATTTGTTAATTTCATTGTTTTTTTTCTTCTCCTCTTGTTTTTTCTCCATTTATTCTTTAAAAAAGCGTAAAAGAATGCCATATGTTTATGTAATATTTTGACGATTAATCTTAGTAAGAAACAACAACAAACTTATCTTGAATGCTACTACTAATATTTTCATTTTCAAATTTATCACTACTAATTGATGTCTTAAACGTTCGAACAGAGTTATCTTTTAAAGATTCGATAATTTATTTTTGAACCATTTTTATTTGCAAATTATTATAAAATACATGATTTGCATTATTAAAGCGGTAATTTTAATCATTTATGCAATCCATTGATAAATTTTTTGTTCAATTATTATTTTACTTAATAATGTAATAAATATTTTAGACATTATCGGAAGATGGACAAGAGAATTCACCGCATAATTCTGCCAGTGATTCTGGTCATGAAACTTCATCACCTGATTCACCGTTAACACCTGTCGAGGAAGGAGCCGTTTCTCCAGGTTATTCATTCTTCTTTTCGTTTTCACTTATCATAATTGTTCATGTTACTTAGGTTTCCCAAAAATTACACTGCAACCGGGAATTTTGGAATTAATGCACTTACATATTTGTCGTTAGGGAAGGAATTTCTGAATATAATCGTTCATCAAATCATTCATTACATGTAACTTTTTTCCTAAATGCTGACAACTTACTGTTTTAACTTACTGTTTTAAGCAAATATTCTGGTAATGAAATATCATTTCTAAATTACCATCTAATATTTCAATTTTTTTTTCACAAAAAACATCGGTTAATGTTTTAAAAAAAACAAGGAATGGTTATAATTAAGCATGTTTCAATTGGATAGTTAGTGTGAATGCTTTACAGAACGAAAAAAAATCATCATTATTGTATCTGTGGGATAGAATAGGATATTAAATGTTGACCAGAAATTAGCTGTTTCATAATTTCTAATTAGCATTGTCATATAATGATCGTAGGAAGAAAAATAATGGAATGTTCATTATCCATCAATATTACTATCATTATTGTACATTTACTTGAACACAATAATTCAGAACCACAACTCAAAATCATGCATGCATGTAAATATTACATGCATGCATGAGGCACTGTTATATTAAAGTGCAACAAATGTATAATTTACAACAATGTGTAATCTTTATTTACATATTTTATACAAAATTTTTCAATTATATTCATTATTTGCTCCCTATATAATGCCGTAGTGAACAAATATAGACAAAAAAGTGATTAATATTAATCAGTTGGGATGATTTGAAAAGAATGTTAGCAGTAAACATCATAAATCCTCGTAAGTAAGCAAATGCAACATTATCCGGAAGTGATGTTATATTGTATTGAATGTTTAGATGAATGTTTTCGATGATCATTCTACCATCCATTTGCTTCACTTTTTTTTTTTTTTCATTGAAATTACTGATAGAATTGAGCAAAGTCGTTAAAACACATTTCGTTTTAGCTATTTCGGTAAAATTGAATATTGTATTGTTTGATTTTCTTTTTTTTTTTATTAAATAATCTATCAGAATTTTTCAAAATCATTCATACTTGCAAAATTGAACGCATGCTTTGCGGAATATTATATCTGAATAAATTATATGTATGGATTGCAGAGGATATGCCTTTTGCAAGTTTTACTAAAATTTTTGCAGTTTTTCATTTTCAATTTAGAAGAGATTTTATGAAGTATTGCATAAACTAGATGTCATATACGTACTTTACATAAACACCATGCACATGTGCTTTAAATACCAATAAAGAATGGTTGGGAAATTTAGTTTCCGTTTAAGAAAGTATTTTATTATTATTATTTCTATGTTTTTCTATTTTTGAAATTCGATTTCTTTTCAAATTTTTCAAATTTCTAAAGAAATTTTTTCTCTGTAAAATTAAGCATAAAAATTTTATGTTTCTGTAAAGAAAATTTTTGTGATTACAATGATGTTTCAAAAAAAGACGAAAATTTCATTAAATTGTTTTTAGCAGTGGAAAAAACCGGTAACGATGATGAAGCATTATGTCCGAGTGATAAATGTGAAACAACATTTCGTATTCGTTTGATTGCACCTGGTGCAGAACCGTTCGATTTACAGGTATGTATTGATTAAATGCTTCAATGCTAAATCAGAATACTAATCTTTACTAAATTTTGAAATTCATGGTCTTGAGAATAGGCTAAAATCCTCAATCACTCAGTGATTTTGAAGTTTTATCAAGTTGACAGCTTGGTAAAAGAAAAATAATTCAGTAAAATTGGCACTCATTTCCATCACTTCTTTCTGTTTTCTCACCTTCCCATGTTTTTCTTTTTCATCTTTTCTATTTGCTTCATTAATTCACTTCTCCTGGAATTTTGCATCACAATGGATTCAAAACTAATCCTTAAATTATGAGATTTCAGAAAAACAAGCAAAGGAAGCATTGATATTACAAGTCAAAGTTAGAACTAATAAAAGTGCACGATTTTAGTTGAAAAAATAAGTTTTTTTCTTTTTTAGGTAAATTCAAGTGAAATGGTGCAGGAGCTACATCAGGTACTGCTAGAACGTGAAGCAACGTGTCATCGTACGTGTTTCAGCTTACAGTTGAATGGTATTTCGTTGGATCATTTCACCGAATTGAAAAATGTTGCTGGTCTTACAGATGGATCTGTGTTGAGAGTTGTCGAAGGCAAGGATATGGCTTCTTCCGTTTCAATGTAATTTGGTTGGGAATTTCTCGGAAAGTTGAAATATACCAAATATTACTTAATTGATAATATATGTCGATTCTTTTTTTACTAAACAGACATACCTACTGAACTTGAAAATGAAAATTTGAAATTTATATGAACTTATCAAAATGTGGGGAAAGTATCTGTAAACATCGACACCTAAAAAGGAAAAAAAAGAAACAAATCTAGGATCTTTGTAGTGAAATAATGTTTCGTCGATTGAAATTGAATTTTCTGAAATTTCTACTTTTTTTTGTTTTTACATATTAAATATGATCAGAATTTTTATCAAAAATCATATGATTATTTCAGAACCATATACAACCCGAGAAGCTCGAATTCATATTCGACATGTTCGTGATCTTATTCGTTCTCTTGATATGTCTGATGCTGTTAATGGTACTGATGGTGCATCACTGTCATATCTTGCCTCAATGACATTAGGAGATCGTAAAAAAAACGCTGACAAGTAAGTGTCTCAGTACAAAGTAGGTTTTCTTATATAAGAAGTATTATGGTAATGTTATCGACCTGTTGAGCAGTATTACTGTTCTATTTTTTTTACTGTAATGCATAGCGAAAATGAACAGAGCATTGAGTTACAGGTATTATTAGTTAAAACTGATCTTGAATAAATTGTTGATATTTAAAGATGTGAGAAGTAATAACAAGTTAGAAATATTACTTTTTTCAGGTCACTAGAATGTTCTCCCCCTGATTATGTTCTACCAGGATCTAAGGAACGTCCATTAATACCGTTACTACCAGTAATGAAAGATCCTGTGTTAGCGCTGAAAAGTCTGGCAATATCACCGTTTAATCCCCCACCAGGACATCGAAAATTGAAGGTTTGTCATTGAAAATCATTATCAAAACTGTTTCAGGAGTAGAAAAGGTTGGATTTAAAAGTTTTGATATATTTAATATCTGGAACGTTCGAAAAAGTCTTTTTTTTTTCTTTTTTGTCTACTAACAGTAAATTGTATAAATGAAGAACCTATACAGGGCGATGTTCTCTATTTGACAGTTGATACACGAGAGGGACGACGTTATCATATAACTTGTTGTACGAAAGGTTTTTATGTGAATGCAACCAGCGAAGCAGGTTTCCGACCAACACCCTCACCTTCACATAGGGCTATTCATCATTCATTATTGGATTTGTTGTCGTCAATTAGCACCTCATTTAAACGAGCTATGTCTTTAATTTTGAAGAAGCGTTCCGAAAAGCATATTTTTGAGCGATTGCCAACACCATATCAGGTATTACTGTTTGTTAAAAGCGAAAGTGAAAAGTAGTTTTGTTTTGTATTTTCTACTTTTCTTTGCAAATTGAAATTTTAGAATTTAATTAGTTATTCCAATGAATCTAGATTAAGAGCTGACAAAATTGGCGATATTGTTAACGTACATATACATATATAAGCCTTATTTGTCTGTTTTCATTTGTGAAGGACATCTCTCACATACATCCATTATGGATGATGTAACCCATTCATTTTAAATTTGTTACATTAAACTTGGTGAGCGGTTACGCACGTTTTTTTCAATTAAATAGAAATTGTAATTTTCATCCTTCTTATGCAAATGCAGAAATTTCGAGATTAAAAAAGAGAATAGAAAAGATATTACTGGGTTCTGTGTAAGTATTTTTTTTTTTAAATTTCGTTCCTTAATTGTAGATAATACTAAGACTTTTTTTTCAGGTAAATTCATGGGTAGCACCGATATTCGAGCAAACCGAAGATGGAATTCGTGCTGAAGATTTTACACAGCCTCATAAAATTGGTCTTGAAGATCATATTCCTGGACAAATTCGTGATTGGAACGAGGAGCTGCAAACGACCCATGAGTTACCACGTGAAACACTCGGTGAACGGCTCATTCGAGAAAGAGCTATCTTTAAAATTCATAGCGATTTCGTTTCTGCTGCGATTAAAGTGATTGTTTATCATATCTTAATTTTAAATATCTCCTTACTAATAGCAAGAATTTAATATTCTTTTGCAATAGTTCGAGGAATTTATAAGGGTTTTTTTTCTGTTTCACCAATTTTATATGCTTATATATAGATCACAGAAGTATATCACTGAAAGGAATGGGAGGAAGTCCTCTAGATTATTATTTGCGTCGTCCAAATGATTCTTAAGCTTGCTAAATTTTAATTGGAAAAATGAATCACTTCTCCTTCGAATTACGATATAATTATTTTCTGGGAGCAATGGCAGTTGTCGATGGAAATGTGGTTGCAATAAATCCGGCGGATGAACCGCGGACGCATATGTATATATGGAATAACATATTCTTTTCGCTTGGGTTTGATGTCAAAGATCACTACAAGGTTAGGTTGGCATATTCTATTGAATAAATTCCTGATTCATCATTATGTCATATTTAATATTTCAATTTTTTTTTTTGGTTCCGATTTTGTGAATTTCAAAACTAAAAGTTCCGCACATCAATAGTGGAATATCGATTCTAGCAATACTAACTTGGGAATTCCCAAATTCCGAGGGCGTATTAGGGATATCTATGGAAATGATTCAGGGAAAGGAGTAGTTTCATATTTCCAAACAATTTTATTAACTTACAAACGTCAGTTTTGTAATAATTCTACCGGTCACATTCCAGGAATTGGGAGGTGATGCAGCTGCTCATGCGGCAACATCGAATGATTTGCAAGGTGTGCGAGCTTATGCACAGCTTGATAATGCAAAACTTTTTACTTTGGGCATGGTCATAGTTGACTACAAGGGGTTCCGGTAATTATATTTCTTTTTTTTCAAAAGAAAAGATATTAATGGTACACAGAGTAACGTAATTTTGAGAAGGAACTTAGATTTAGTCATGTAGAGAAAAGCCTTTATGACCACTCCTAATTTCTGATGCTTTAATTTCAAATCATTACAAAAAATATATTCTGCTTACTTACGCTTATGTATCATAAGTTTGTGCATTATTTGCTATAGACGATATAGATATAGACGATGCATATTACAGAGTGACTGCGCAATCAATTATACCAGGTATTTTGGAGAGAGAACAGGAACAAAGTGTTGTTTACGGGTCGGTTGATTTTGGTAAAACAGTTGTCAGCTCTGAGGTGACTCTTCCCTTTCTATAACAACCATAAGATTTATAGAATCGTGGAATAAGATATGACATCGATAGAAATATTTTTTCATATTTCACATGCAAATGTATGCAAAAAAAAAAAACGAATAATGAATTTGACTGTTTCTTGATGAATGTTGCGTCAATTTCTTGCTTACTTGTCAAATATTTTAATAGGAATATCATGATTTATTATCGAAGCCAGCAGAGCAATTGAAAATTTTACCTCATGAAGTTTACAATGGCAAGGATGATGGAAAAATCATTAAACTATGTTCATCTTTTGAAACTAAAGTAAGGATCTTTGTTGACTTTACACTAAGAGTAATACTCTCTGTTAACGTAAACTGTTGTGGAAATTGATTTTTTTTCTTTTTTTGGGAGGGTTTATTAGGCGTTTTCTACATCACAGCACAATATGATAGAGATTCGTTCTAAACTACTGAAAAATTTCTCAGTTTAAGGAAGGAAGCATGCTATAAATTGATTGGTCCTAGGTAGTTCAAAGTTTCGTTAACCCTTTCTGCAAAGTATTGTTAAAATAGTATAAAGCAGTATGAAATTGGAAACGAACGAATAAGATTCCTAAAAAATATACGAGTTACATTCTCGGAAACAGTATTAAAGTATTTGTTTTTTTTTTTTTAGTGAGCGAATTGTTTAGACAATAAGGGATTCAGTGAATGGCCTACTATGATCGAATTGGAATTTTTTTGATTTATAAAATATCATAGAATATTGTTTCTCTTTAAGAAGAATTATCATTTGAATGAATATGGAAAAACATAAGTGTGGCAGCTAGAGAAATATTAAATTACTTGACATTTTCAGGGTATTGTTGGAAACGATTTGCGGCATTATATTTTAGATCTGTTACGAACTTTTCCACCAGATGTAAATTATCTTGAAGATGCGGAAGTAACGGATATTTGTAAGGCAAATGGATATCCACGTGCATTTCCACATAAGCTTGCTTCCCTGAGGCAGGAACTAATTGAGGCTTTCGTCGAGTTTGTTTTTTTTTGCTTTTTTTATTTATTTCAAAATATTTTATATTTTTACTCTCTTAAAAAGAGAAATATTAACCTATATCATTTTAGGCAATATATATTTGCAATTTATGATACTGTTGAATGATATTTGATGTATATCACAATATGCCTTATTGTGATATACATGTTTCAGCATAGCTTGTTGTACTTTATTTATTAAGAGATCAAATAGTTCTGATTTAAATTTACAGTCTTTTGTTTTTTTTTTTTGTAAGGTGTCGTTATTTGATGTTTATTCGTATAGCTGCATATCACGTGCAGCAAACTAGGCTGGGATTGTTAGCGACGGAAGATGATGATGGTACGAATGAAGCGAAACAGAAGGAAGATGCGATTCTAAAAGTGGACAGATTTAGCGAGACAATGCAAGAAGATGCAATTATAAATCAAATCAAGGTATTTTACTTGAACTATTTTGAATTTTAATATTTTTTTGTGGATTTAGGAATAGAACGATGCAAAAATGGTGAAACATTCGTTCTCTTTTTTCGTTTGTTTTTCAATATTCACCTGTTAATTTTGCAGATATTTGTCAATAGAAATCATTAAGAGAACGATATGCATAATTTTTTCCTCGTTATTTCAGTTTTCGTTCCTGTTACTTGCTGCATGTCTGAATAGATTCGAATATATTTGATATATTTGGAAATAAATTTTACTTTATATATTTGGAAAAAATAGAAATATATTTGAAAATAGATTTCGAATATATTTGAGAAATATCATTTTCTTATAAAGTTATATCAAATAATTTGGTGTGAGGAAATTGCAGTGACATTGTTGATTTTTGGCTAATTTGAGACAAAAAAACCTTAAGATATCCAAAAATTGAACATGAGATTAACTTTATTATTATTATTACTATTATTGTTGTTATTGTTATTATTATTATTATTATTAATTATTAATTATTAATTATTAATTACTATTAATTATTGACTTTTATCATCATCATCACTGCTATTCTAAGGTATTTATTATCTTAAAGCATTTAATATATTGTCATAAAATAACTATGATTTGGTTATTTTAAAATTGATAAATTGTATTAGTTTTGACAAAATTTAGGTCCCATCAGTCCTTTCGAATTAATCCAACTTAATATTTTATCAATCAAAACTAGAGCTTGAAAATATATTTTATTTTATAGAGTGAAATAGTTGCTGATATGAAAGTTGATGAAATGCCATTACTGGAAACTGAAACAGCTAAAAAAATTATGAAAGAAGCTATTGATAACGATGAAAAAAAAGCTGACGGATTGGATAAAGAAATATCGGAGCAGGTAAGTCCTTTGGCATAGTTTACTTTCAGCGGCTAATATTGGGACTTTGTTAAATTTGATACTTTTTCGCCATGATTTTTGAACAATTCTAAGTTTTTAAAGGTTGAGATTTTCATATTTTTTAAAGATTCCTCTCTAAGAAAAATGATCATTTTTTATTCTGAAGATAATGGCAAAGGCAGCAAAAGCAGTAGGATCAATTCGTACAGATGCATTTGATATTAGATTTAATCCTGATTGTTATTGTTCAACGGTACGTCATGCCGAGAATGAAGATATTGCAAAGCAACGACGTTTGGTAGCTGAAGCAGCTGAATTTTTAATCGTACAGGTATGCGATGCATTATTTCAATGATCTTGTACAGTAATATTTAAAATATTGCAATACTTCAGTAATCTTACACAATAAATTGATTTGACAAATTGATTGAGGAAACAATACACTGATTGTTTTAATAATTCTGTTAATTTTAGAAATATTCCGTAATTGTCAACTCCTTCAAATGTGTATTATTATTATTTTTATCGTAGCTATTTATTTAGCAATTGCCAAATTTCGTTCGTGACTGTTTACAACGTACGATAATGCCATTGGATGGTGCATCGCTTAGTGATTCGTTACATTCACGCGGTATTAATATCCGATATTTGGGTAAATTGACACAATATATTCAAAGTATTCAACGGTTAACTTATCTTAAAGTAAGTAGTCAATTTCTTATTTATTTTTATTGACTCATGTTATTTGCGCCATAATTAATGTGCTTAATTGCTCATCTCGTACATCATGTGTTTTCCAACGACTTATGCATTTGAGACTGATAATTAGTTTTAAAGTTTTTAAATAAATTTTAGGTGATCTGTATTACTGAGTTGTTATGTCGATGTGCAAAACATATCTTCCGTAGTTATCTGCAACCTGTGTCATCAGCGCATACGGCAACAGCAGTATCACATTTCCTGAATTGTCTCCTGAGTCCATCAACTGAACCTATAACATCGTCTAATGAGGAAGTTAGCTTTTGTTTTTGCTTTTCACTTTTTTTTCAACTTTTAATTTTCCTTTTTCTATTTTGATTAGTCTTGAATTATACAAATGCAAAGAGATGTCTATTGTAACGGTTGTTGTTGTAGCAGGGCAATGTGAGTAAATACACTGCATCAAAAGGTGGTGTTGTGAATAAAACTAAATTGAAGTCGTATCCAATTTCCAGATGTCACTGTCAATAATTGGTGTCAAAAAATCACGGTCATCGAAACGTCGGAAGCAGATCAACAATGGTGGTAAAGAAAATGATGACTGGGTTCAAATGTCATCGAATAGGCTTTGGGAACGTGTGAAGTCAGATGCTGATTTTTATTATGCATTTAAAATTAATGAAGAAAATGTTGATGCATATTTATCCACAACTGGAATTCAAAAAATTTCGTTTTTACGCCGTTTTGCACAAATAGTTGGAATTCAGGTATCATTTTGATGACACATCCTATCTTCAATAATCAATTTGTATGAAAAGTTAGCTTAATGAATTGACGTGAGAACTTTTTGTCTTTGTTGCTTATAAAGTACAAACTGGCAAAAGTAGTTCTTGTAGCATGTCATTTATGATTTAATTAGGAAATGATTCCTACATAGAATATTCCTAATTTTTCGTGTAAATCTCTGGAAATAAGGAATGCCATTGTATATTTTGATCTCTAAAAAAAAGTATTGGGAAAAAAAAGTCATTGTTTCCGAATGAGACAAATAAATGGCTCATAAAATTCAAATGGAATTTCAACTTGATTTAAATTTTTCTAATTTTATTGGATGAAAGTATGCATATTTTCAGATGCTTTTGCGGGATTATAATTTAGAAGCAGGGAAAAAATCTCAGTTGTTCGTTGAAGATGATATTCAGGGTTTGTATTGTCAAGCGAAACATGTTGATCCGAAAGCTGTGGATGCTCATAGTTTGTTCCTTTCTGGGCAAACTAAAGTACAGCAAGGTATATTTCATTACTTGTTCTTTTTCATTTATTTTTTAGGTAATTTAGTCATTTACTGAGGTAACGAATCAAATAGTTTAATTCGAGATGAATAAGATTATTCACTGTTGCGAACACGACATAGAAAAAACTTCAAAATAGTTAAAAAGAAGAGAGGTTGATAACGTATGAAAGTCATATAAGTTAGATGGAATAATTCATTTCGATAATTCTGTGAAATATGCTGTTAAATAAAAAGAAATTGGGTTCAGGAAAGAATGTATTCATTTGTCATTTGTTGCATATTTATGCTTGAAATAATTCTTTATATTTTCACATTTCCATTTTTCTATGCAATAAACATGGGTATAATGAAAAGTCTTTTGTTTTTTCTTTTTTTTTATTTTCAGGTCATTTACGTGCTGGATTTGATTTAGTATTAGAATCTCTAAATCTGATGAATACTGTATACGGTGCGATGCATTCCGATATGGTGAAATGTATGCGTTTACTTGCTCGTCTTTCATATATCCTTGGTGATCCACCTGAAGCGTTATCACAACAGCATAAAGCAACATTGATGAGTGAGCGTTGTAATGGCTTGGATAGCGCTAATACTGTTATCGAATATGTTAGTTGTTTCGTTTTGTTTTTTTTTTTTTCTTTTTGCTAATTCATAAAAAATTCAACTTATACATGAGAAAAATTGTTACTTTTGAATTCAATAATAAAAAATTTGTGTGAAAAATGTTTTAAAGAAATATTAATAGCTGAACCTTTTAAGGATTATTTCCTTCTTTTTGTCAATTTTAATTCTTAGTTTGATACATCATTTTACAAAGCAGAAATAAAAGCGTAAAAAAAAGAATAGTTTTTTAAGTCCTTTAATAAATGTACATATATTTTACTTATATCATAGCATTATCTAAAGATTATTTATTTATGTGCACAATGGTATAACACATCCGTTTCATTTTTTGGAACTCTATATATATATATATATATATATATATAT